TGGAAGTCTTGTCTCGTACAGCCCTGTGTATGTGTGTGCGCATATATATATATATATATATATATATATATATATATATATATATATATATATATATATATATATATATATGTATGTGTGATTAATACACAAAAAAACCAAATCACGTCATATAGAGAATCAGTTTATTTCGACAGACGAAAATTTAATTTATCTTATCAACCCCCCAGTATAGACTGAGTTCGTGTCGTGAGTATTCCGACACGAACTCAGTCTATACCGGGGTTGATAAGACTGACGAATTATATTTTCGTCTGTCGAAATAAGCTTATTCTCCATATGAGGTGATTTGCGATTTTATTGTGTATTCATTTTTTACTCTGTAATAATAAATACATTGAGCTCTTTTTGTGAATCAGTTTTATTATTTTATATTACTAGGGTACACTTGGATTATCTACCAACTGAATTATTACCTTTATTATATATATATATATATATATATATATATATATATATATATATATATAATAAATGTAATAAATCCATTGGGAAATAATGGGATAAGGGTTGTAGATTTATTACCTTTATATATATATATATATATATATATATATATATATATATATATAATAAATGTAATAAATTCGTTGGTAAATAATCCAAGTGGACTCTAGTAATACAAAATAATAAAACATATATATATATATATATATATATATATATATATATATATATATATATATATATATATATATATATATATATATATATATATATATATATATATCACCAGAAAATGCTTAATTACTTGTGCCCTCCTCTATCTTTACAAGAGTCAGATCAGACCGACCACGGAGTTTAGCGGCCATATCTGGGCTGGCGCTGCCCAGTCCTCACTGTATCGTCTCGGGACAGTTGAAAAGCTCTTACGCCGGAGATGAATTATTCTCTACTCTACAACCCTTGTCCCACAGACCAGACGTTGCAAGCCTCTCATGCTTTTATTATACCAAATGTTCAAACGGGGTACATTCCTTGGTCCAACCAGCTCAGGCTTTCACCATGCCGCGTTCACGGTAGCAAATCATCCTCATTCCATTCCTGTTCAGAGAGGTAGCAGCTGTCAGGTTCCAACCATGAGAAAAACGTGAAGCCCCAAACACTATAAAAATATAAAACTATATTTTATAATAAAATGCCAGCAATATATTATTATATAAAACACGTTACCAACAATGCATATTTATAATCGAACTACAAACAATACATCGTCCTGGGTAAGACGTTAAATTACATCCGTGTCCTGGGTGAGACGTTAAACTACATCCAGCAGCAAGGTCTCTGATCAAGAGGGTTTTGAGGAGCGTGAAAGCCACCTCTTATTTGCTGGTGTCCCCAGTAGCACCTGTTAGGGTCCCAGCTATGGATAAATAGTTAACTATTACAAGCAATACTTTTTTGAAAAAATTATTACCAGCAATACAGTTTTGAAAGAAATATATTACCAGGAACAGATTTTTGACGAAACAAAATATTGCCAGAAATAAAAAAAAATATTGACGGCAAATATTGCATAAAAAAAATAAACCAAACCAATCTAAAAAAGAATAATATTCTATTGACGGCTATTAAAAAATAAAATAAACCATTGAGGTTGATATGCCATAAAACAAAATAAACCAAACCAATCTAAACCAAAGAATACATATTCTATTCATACGAATCTATCCTAAAAAATATTGACGGCATTAAATAAACCATTGAGGTTGATATGCCGTAAAACAAAATAAACCAAACCAATCTAAACCAAAGAATACATATTCTATTCATACGAATCTATCCTAAAAATATTGACGGCATTAAATAAACCATTGAGGTTGATATGCCGTAAAACAAAATAAACCAAACCAATCTAAACCAAAGAATACATATTCTATTCATACGAATCTATCCTAAAAAATATTGACGGCATTAAATAAACCATTGAGGTTGATATCTAAAACAAAATAAACCAAACCAATCTAAACCAAAGAATAATATTCTATTCATACGAATCTATCAAAATAAATAAACCATTGAGGTTGATATGCCGTAAAACAAAAACCACCAATCTAAACCAAAGAATACATATTCTATTCATACGAATCTATCCTAAAAAATATTGACGGCATTAAATAAACCATTGAGGTTGATATGCCGTAAAACAAAATAAACCAAACCAATCTAAACCAAAGAATACACATTCTATTCATACGAATCTATCCTAAAAAATATTGACGGCATTAAATAACCCATTGAGGTTGATATGCCGTAAAACAAAATAAACCAAAACAGACCAAACCAAACAAACAATACATTTTTAAGGCAAAATTACCAACAATCCATTTCATAGCAAAATGACCATCAGTCTATTTTATCTGAAGTTGAAGCCATAAAATTGTGTTCAAAATATTCACATTCCGGCATTTTCTAACTCATAGAGATGCTGATATGCCACTAGACAAAATCAATTAACCTTTGCGAACTGAGCCACCTTTGTGAGGCAAAAGGAGATATCAGTTAACTTTTAATCATCCAGATATTTGGTGGTACACCTATAAACTGTTCTATCACTTGCACAGATATTTCCTAAGGACCAGAGTATGTTTATAGGCAGATCATTAATATAGAGAACTGTAAAAAGTGTTAATGGAATTTTTTTTGTAGATTAATTCACATTTATTATGCACATTAGTTTGTTTTGTTGTCCGTCAAAATAAAAAAAGAGATAATTCTTTTCTTAAAATTGCTATAGAGTAAATTGTGACGTCGTCCCCCGGTCGTAGCGCCAACTGTGACGTTCTATCCTGATCTACCACGGCGCCAGTTGTGACGTCCTCAAACAGCACCACTTGTGACGTCTTCGCCGTGGCGCCAGCTGTTCGCTCCTCGCTGCTCCGTCCGTGTGTCGCTGCTCCAAACGTGACGTCCGCCTGTCGGGTCAGTCGGGTTGTCTCGTCCTGTGACGACCAACTGGCTTGGTATCAGTCGCGGCACCCAAATGTGACGTTCTAACCTTTTGGTGATTCGGGTGGGAATCTGGTTAGATTTGATATCAGCCTCGTCGTTCCCAACTCGCTTCCAACGCCTGGTTACCAAGGTAACTGCATTGATCTCCAGTCTGCCTACCCACGTTGTGAATTGATTTTAGGCAGACCAGATCAAACAGTGGTTGGGGCTGTAATGCAAATTGAGTTCAACGGGGTTGATAACACACAAATATGCATAAAAGAAAATAAAATGAAAACTCAAAAAGTTCAAAGTATCAAAGAAAAAAGGTAACAAACTTTATGTCTAGTTGTTCGATACATAGGACTGCATCTATCTCCCGACCCGTTCTGTGGATTGTAACACGTCGTTTTCGCTAGGCAAGTTTTAACGCTTCAAGTTGTTCGCTCTCTAAGAAATTTGTGTTTCGGTGTGTCTTTGGACGAAAGTCGAAAAAACTTATTTCGGTGGTCTGGTCCTAAGTCGCTCTTCAAAATAATTGTTCTTGGTTGAAGAGGAGTCCGGAATTTTGCGTGAATCTTGGTCAGCTATCTCGAGGCGGCTTCAACTCTGGAAACTGGAGCTCGAACTCTCTGGACACTCATCTCTGCCGCCAGGGACCGAACTTTCTGGACGCTCATCTCTGCCGCCAGGGCCCGAACTTTCTGGACGCTCATCTCTGCCGCCAGGGCCTGAACTTTCTGGACACTCATCTCTGCCGCCAGGGCCCGAACTTTCTGGACACTCATCTCTGCCGCCAGGGCCCGAACTGATTTCTGCCTGTTGAGGACTGGCTTTTATTGACGCCGACCAAAACCGGGGTGGGTCTGTTGGCGTCCGGGGGGGGGGGTTCCTCGATAATTCTAAATACATTTCCACCTCTTTTATTTCTGGTTAGGGATTTTCCACTCTTCCATTTTTGGTAAATTTTTTTCACTCCCACTTTCTCACCATACTTCTGAGGGGCGTGAACTGCCCTCCCCACTTCTTCGTAGCAGCTTCTCATACTTATACTCTGGATGGGGGCGTCGACAGCCTTCTTCGTGCGTCACGTGATCACTCTCGGCCAATGAGGTCTTGGTCGGGTATCTTTCCTCCTCCTTCGTGCGTCACGTGATCGCCACTTGACCAATGATGTCTTAGTCGGGCGTGAACAATCCGCGGCTTTGTTTCGGAAAAAAAACATCTTTCTTAACTAAAAAAATTATCTTTTGCTTTTCCTTTTCTTCCTTAATCGCCGTATCATTTCTCTGGCCACCAACGGGAAAATATGAACAATGGGGTCATAATTTTGTTCTACACGTGGCTTACGTCAGGTATTTTATCGCTAATTTATCAAGATGGTTGGTATTCTTAACATGGTCTCAAAAAAGGAATTATCCCCAAGTTTTCAGTCAGTCTGACGTCTCCAAGGAAGAAAGAAAAACACCCTGGGTCCCCACCCATTTTCCTTCAGCACATATTCCTGATAACATAAATTTATTATCGCAGGCAAAAGTTGTTTTGTCGAAAAGAATTTAGTTAGCGAGACTGCTTGTGGGATTTTAATTTTCCATATCTAACTAAGGCTCTGTAGCTACACCTGTGTTTTGTCAATTATCAAAATTAACGTTTTCAAGTGGACTTTCTTTGGCGAACATTTCTTGATAAAACAATTCCATTCGCGCAGGCCAAGTAGGAAAATCGGTCAACGATTACTCGTAGGTGGCCTTTAATTTTCATATCTGTCCAAAGTCTTTTTTAGTCGCCTGTTTCTTTTCGTCACTTATCGAAATAACATTTTCACTTAAATTTTTCCCTTGGCCGGTGGTCTGTGTTGATAATAAGATGCCTTCCCGTACCAATAGTTTGTTTTCATATCCTTAGATAACACTTCTCTACCCACTCAAATCTCATTGTCATTGTAATGACACTTTTTCGCCATTTGTCACTTATGAAAATAACCCTTTTTTTTATTGCCTCTTAGCCGTGTGTGTGTTCGCTTATCACCTATGATTCGGATCTCGCCTCACTTTTCCCTTCCTTTCTTCTTTTCTTTCTTTTCCCTTTCTGTCTTTCTTTCTCTGCCTGGATGCATGGTGCCACAAAATGATTAATTTTAAAAAGGTTTATAAGTGTTTATCATCATTGCTAATAATGGATGAAGCGATTTATTATACTCAGGAAGTTAAGTGGGATTACTAATATATATATACACACACACACACACACACACACATATATATATATATATATATATATATATATATAATCAACGACGAACTTATTCGTAGACCCATCAATGATGAATATTTTTATCCATTTTTTCAGAATTTAATGCCAGTTTGATGCCATATTTTTTATATGTTAATAAGCACAAAAAAGAAATATAAAACTCAATATTTAGAACATTAGTTTGTCCATGTTCATAGTTGATATTATTGAGTGTTGGATTTTTGTTTTTATTAACAAGGCTTCCATTATTTTTAGCCTTTTTTGGATGTAGATGATGCTATTATATTTGTGTTGTCAACATGTATGTTACGAATAGGGTCCGGTAGGTATCTGTGAATATTTAAATGAGAGCTAATTGAACTATGGTCAGAAAGGTGTAGAGTGAGTCTGCGTGTCAAACATGTTGTAGTGTGGCCTATATAATTATTTACGAATTTTGATTAACCAGGAATAAAATTCTCTAATGGACATTAAAATTCGTAGATAATATTTGCCCTATTTAATTTTGTTCGATCATGTGAATTATAATTTTTAACTATAAAGTTAGTGGTTTTATATTTTTTGCAATAAATAATTAATCTAATTTTTTTTGTTATTGTCAACTGGTTTAGTGCATTTTTTATAATGTTCTTAATACTACTTTCGTATTGTTTATTTATAATTCAACATCCAAAAAAAAAAATATATATATATATACATATATATATATATATATATATATTTCCCTCATACCATTAATCTTTTCATTTTTAAAGTTTTAATTGTATGTAGGATTTGTGAGTGAGTCAATTTATATTGCGATAATTTTGAAATTGTTCCCAGTCGACCCTGATGAGCTTGGGAACGAAACCGTTTGGTCTGTTTTGTCTGAAGTGTCATCATCTCTTATTTTTTATTTTTTCATTTTTCATAATGCCATTAAGAAATAATTCGTATTTATTCCTTGCAATATATATATATATATATATATATATATATATATATATATATGTAGTCATCATAACGTATTCTTGTGACTACAGCGTTTAAACGGAAAGCTTTTTTTAAAAATTTTCATTTTGTTTTACATAATTGCCATTAAGAATTTGTATTTTAATAATTTGTATTTTATTCGTCTGACGTCGACAATTCTTTCATTTTATACATTTATGGATTTTTGTTTGTTTTTCAAAATTTCTACATTCTGTCGGATTTTATCCATTTATATATATATATATATATATATATATATATATATATATAATCAAATATATTTTTTAAGATATGCTATATTTATAGGGTAAAAAGTGTTCAATATCTGGGATAGGGCATGGGTAAATACAAGAAGTGTAAACAGTGATGGTAACACCGAGTGACGATAGTCTGTTACATAAATCACTGTTTCATGGTGCTGACTGTCGCCAATCGTTGCTGACATCACTACACACACTTCTTATACATACATACATACATACATACATACATATATATATATATATATATATATATATATATATATATATATAGACATTTTTTGTTTATACAGTCTTTTTATAGTCACAAATATTTAAGTAACGGATCTGTTTTTTTTTTTAAATAAACAGTATTAATAATATTTACCGAGAAATTTTCATAGAAAATTCTCCGAGAGGAATCAAACCTGTATCCTATACAGAACCGTCAACTATCCTGACGTGCTATTAATCAATCGAGCCACGATTCCATATAGGATACAGGTTCGATTTCTGTCAGAGAACGAATATTTTCTATGAAAATTTCTCGGACATTCAGGCCGGGTCAGGGTTAATGTTATCAATACTGTTTATTATTTTAAAAAGCAAAAAAACAAAACAAAACAAAAACAGAGCATTTACTTAAATATTTGTATCTATAAAAAGAATGTATAAACATAAAAATGTCTTAAAATAATTGTCCATTTCATAATATATATATATGTGAAAAGTGTATATAAATATAGATAAATATATATATGTATAATTATTTATATATTATATGCGCAGTACTTCCTTGACGTCACTCTTAACCTGATCATCAACACATATGAACCATAAAAAGAAACCATCCACCTTCTATCATCAAACAAATATCAAAATCAATCAGCCGCAGACTATCTGAAAACTCATCTAACATACACATTTTTAATAGCAAAAAAGCACCATACAATGAAGCACTAAAAGCAAGTGGTTACACACAACAACTACAATATATATCTCCACAGCCAAAACGCAGAAACAGAAAGAGAAACATTCTCTGGTTTAATCCACCATATAACAAAACTGTTAAAACTAAGATAGGCAAAATATTCCTAAACTTAATAGAAAAACACTTCACTGAAGAAAACAAATTATCAAAAATATTTAACAAAAATAACGTAAAGATCAGTTACAGCTGCACAAAAAACATAACAGAAATAATCAAAAGCCACAACAAAAAAATGACAACCTACAAAAATGAAACCAAGGATCCAATATGCAACTGCAAAAACAGAACAACATGTCCACTCCAAGGAAATTGCCAACTTACGAACACAATATACAATTTAAGTACAAACAACAACACTATGCACTACATCGGTGCCATCGAAGGTCTATTCAAGATGAGGAATAACAATCACAACCATTCATTCAACAACAGGAAATATTCGAACAGAACAACACTTTCTACATACATATGGCAGCAAAAAGACAAAAACATCACACCAACAATAAGTTGGGAAATATTGAAAAAAGCCCCTGCCTACAACAACATTACAAAAAATGCCTACTTTGCCTACACGAAAAAGTAGCAATAATATCACACAAACCGCAAAAGAACTTACTAAACAAAAAATCAGAGATAATCTCCAAATGTAGGCACGAGAACAAGTACCTATTATCCGAATTCATACCAAACGGATAAAATAGACAAAGCACCAACAATCACAATTTAATTTCAAGATACCATCAAAATAATTGCATCTATCATTATTATCATTGCACCACCATTAGTAATCACTTTTACCACTTTACAATAACTATTAACTAATAATATTATCATTACCACCAACACACAGCACCATCACTTACACATCACACCTACCATTAATATATAAATCCACTGCAATCTTTAACGCATATTACTCCCCCAGCATATTTAATACCTTCAAACAATATTATCAGATATAATTTCCATATGTAACCATGAGAATAAACACCAATTACCAGGATTCATAATAAATTAAAATAAACAAATAAATATAGAAAATAAAATAAAATAAAACATCAACAACCACTCTTTAGTTCTAGCTAGCACCACAATAATTACATTTATAGGTTTTTATTATTCTCCCACCAACATTACTAATCACTACTAACAATTTACAATAAATATTAACCACTTATATTATTATTGCCACCAACCCCCACTCACATATTACTATCACACCATATCTACCATTACCATATAATCCTACCATAATTATTAATGTAAACTACCCCCTCCCCAGCATATTTAATACCACCATAAAAATAACCAATCAGGATTACAAACTGAAATTTCTACCAGTCACATATACAGTCACAAAAAAAAAAACAAGGAAATAACCAGCTTTAATATAATAACAATAATAATTTTGTAAATTAAAAATTCAAAATTATATATATATATATATATATATATATATATATATTTAATAAACTCAAGGTAAGGAGGGCATGGATATCAGGATTATTGCCTTTAATCTGGCTTAAACCTTTAGGTATTAAAATCCTTCGTCAAACCTTAGATTTTGGCGCTACAGAATCCCAACGAACCTTAACAAATAAAAAAATCACTTGAACACTTTCAACAACAAGAGGAAATAATTATATAATCAAAGTATTGGTTTTACACACAACCTGAAACAAAAGGTTAGGAAGGTAACTCCCATTAGTTATGGAAATATCGATGTCAGTGATCACGAGAAGTTTGATGTAATGCAAAAAAAAACTGTTATCGGGAGACTCCTATTATAATTATGCCCGTCCTTCCTTTCGTTTGTTCGCAGGACCATTATGTCCTGCCTATACATTTAAATAGTGGCCTATTCCGTTTTGATAGCATGGAAATAGGGGAAAAGAAACTATTTCGTTTCAGTGAAAAAAATGAAATAAAGAAGAAAGGAAGCTTATCATAAGAGGGTATACTTTAGCAACTTAAAATTTAAGGCAAATATATAGAATCATTGTACTTTACTTTGAAGGTATATAGTTGTTTATTAAAATGCATAGGTATAAATGATATATGTAATACATACATACATACACACATACATATATATATTATATTATATATATATATATATATATATATATATATATATATATATAAGAAGCAATCAACAATATTTTATCTGTCTTTAGTCATACGAGTCCCAAATGCCGGCTAGTTCTTCTATAAGTTTTCATCTCTTCGTTGAAGCTTAATTTTGCTACTATGTTTTCAGTTACGTTGCTCTGTCCTACATCTTCCGTTCACGACGACAAAAGTAAAGGAAACAGCAACAAAAGGTAACCTTTTTCCACTCATTTCACCTGGAATTCGAAGTTTAGCTCGCGTTTTTAATGTGCTTCTTATTGCTTAATTAACGGCGAATGCTACAGCTTCAAATACCGTTTACAGCGTCGTCACTCCAGTTGACAGTGATATATAGTTAGTTCCGGGCGAGAAAGCTTCAATTAGTGGATCGCGATCTTTCTTTGGCAGCTCTGACCTGAGAAATTCGAAGCGCAGACGAGTCGACACGTGAGCCGCGTTTCACAAGCTCTGAATTAATTTCCCCTCACAAAAGAATCAACGACTTACATGCAACAATCGCCTTTTCTAAATAAGTAAATGTATCTATATTTAATTCAAGTATTATTATATCATATATTGTAAATGTATTTATATAAGTAAATATGTTAATAGGCATTCATCCTGACAAAAGACGACAGAATGCCAGGAAGTTAAATTTTACACATGGTACCATTATTTATATGAAATATACTGCCATATTGTAAATACATAATAGAACGTTATATCTGATGCTCTCTTTCTCCATCTCTCTCTCTCTCTCTCTCTCTCTCTATATATATATATATATATATATATATATATATATATATATATATATATACACTATTGTGCAAATTAATTGAAACAACCGCTTTGGTTTCCTGTATTTCAACATACGGTCAGTTTCAGACCCACTGGAATGACAAGGTGTAATCGATTTCTATTTTTTTTTTATCTAATTAGGTCATTTGCAGTGGTGTGCAGTAATAGGATTCTATTCTGGGGGTGTCTGATGAAATTTGTTTGGCATTAAAAAATATTGCGTCGTCCATGATTGCATCAGATTTTTATCACGATCAGACACTATTGTCTCGAATGTCGATTAGTTGTCCTACGACCATTGTCTGCGATAGACGTTACTCCAAGGAAGCGTACGAAAATTGTAACGCTGCACGAGCACACCAGCCTCGCCAAAGTACTACAGACTGGTCCGTAAACTCTCTTGATTTAAATCCACTCGAGAATCTGTGGTCAATTTGCAAGAAACGACTGTGTGGAATAGACATACGAAATACTAACATGTGCACTCGGTCATATTTCATTGGAAAGATATGAAAAAAAGTAAATAATATTCCTATTGTTTCAATTAATTTGCACAAGGCTATATATATATATATATATATATATATATATATATATATATATATATATGATCGGATGTCTAGCTACACTGATGAGCTTCTGTTTCTGGATGACAATATATATACTCCTGAAAAATTTAATTCGATCGAGCTCTTTGGGGAGGAAGTCTGGGTTTTTACACAGTGACTATTACTGCTAATAATGCAAGACTTTTCGGCAAATCGAATCGAGTTCCCTCAGTCACTGTGTGTTTATCTAAAATAAATACGCTTAAATTCACCTTCACCCTGCCGTGCGCTTAAGGCTTAGTGGTAGAATCCCCGACTGATGCCAATTCAGCCGGGTTTCAATCTTGGCTAGAGGTGACAGGACGTCTATCCACACTGATGAGCTGTGATAGAGCGAAACAGCCTGTCTATGGAAATACATATATAATTAATACCTCTATTCTATTACATCGAATACAGTTTTATTAAAACCAGCACTATATATCCGATATATATATATATATATATATATATATATATATATATATATATATATATATATTATATGTGTGTGTGCGCTACGTTCGTGCGCAACATTCATTCCGATTTCCTCAAGTTACAATATTTGTTGGTCTCGAAAGATGTAGATTTTTATCATTTTAAAAAAGGGGGTCCTCTTCATAATATAAGCATAGTGTCAAATCGATCCCTGATTTATGCCATGCTAAATACGCGAAATCATTGGTCTGTGTCTCTATTTCATTGAAATTTAAGAAAATGTGTACTAGACCACATTTTGTTTTCAACATATCATTGTTCTACAGCAGACAGATAAATAAATACTCTATGGGTTTAACGTAAATTTATGATGTTATAGATTTATATTGCACGACAAAGCCTACCTATATGATGGCAGTTTAATGAAAAATAATGGTGATTTATTGAATAAAGAGAAAATTAATAAAATTACTTTCTAAAAATTTCGTGTCCCTTCAGGGCGGACAAAAAAGTTCAAAAGTTTGAAGCCGCCCCTAGAATTAGCATGGGATAAACTGGACAGAAAAAGAAGAAAAAACGTAAAAGAAAAAGAAAAAGAAAAGAAAAAGAAAAAGTAAAGGAAAAAAAGATCTCTTAGAATCATTGAAAAAAAATGCAATCGATTATCAAACTGATACTTTGAGAAACTTTTGAAACAAATGGCAAAAGTCTGTGCTGCAGTAATCAAGGCTAAAGGAGAATATTTTGACGAGAGCAAAATTTAATCATAAAAAGCTATTTTCTTTTTGTTCTAATAAAATTTTATAACAAAAAATTGTGTCTAATTTTTTAAACCACTTATAATAATTTTCTATTGTTTAAAATACAAAACAACTACATTTGGGTCCAATTTAAAAAAATTACCAAGGGTAGTCTCAAACTTGTGATCTGTAGTTTACGTGAGAATAGTACTTCAAAAAATCCTTTTCCCTTTATTATCCGTGAATTGCTATACATACTTTGTGACAAATACTGTTTATTTCTGTATCTGTATAGAGATAAACACAGAAAAAGAGAAGAAAAAAAAAGAGAAAAGGTAAAAGAAAGAGAGAGAAGGTAAAAGAAAGAGAGAGAAGGTAAAAGAAAGAGAGGGATTGTGTGGACATAGAAACTGTCAGTAACACAATTTTTTTATATCTCTCTCTCATTCTTTTCTCTCTCTCTTTCTTTTCCCTCCCTCTCTCTTTTCTCTCTTTCTCTTTCTTTTCTCTCTTTCTCTTTCTTTTCTCTCTCTCACTGTCCGACATTGAGAACTCCCACACATATTGCAAAAATATATAGTGTAACCCGGATATAAGAGAGTTGGCGGGACCTGAGAAGAAGTCTCTTATATCCGGGTTTCTCTTATATCCAGGTTTGGTCTATTTTGTTTAGGTAAGTAAGGCTCTAATTTGGGACCAGAGAAAATCTCTCTTATATCCGGGTTTCTCTTATATCCGGGTTACACTGTATATTGAAATTGATTCAAATGTTTTGAAAGGGAAAATTTGTTCAAATATTCTGATTCCCTCACACAGCCTATGACCTTTGCCTTCAAAAGATGTAGCCTATGCCAAATTTCAGTTGACAAGGTACAAACATTTTGTCTACAACTTGAAACAGACATACACTAGTGTTCGAAAGTTTGAAACTCCGATCCTTAGAATTAGTTATAGGATGAAATTGACAGAGGAATGAAACCATTCCATCTAAAGAATGAAAAAGAACTCTTTGACTCATTGAAGAAAGAATGGAATAAATTATCAAACTGATATTTTGTGAAACTTTTTAAACGAATTCCAAAAATTTGTGCTGCAGTAATCAAAGCTAAAGGAGAATATTTTGTCGAGAGTAAAATTTGATCATCGAATGATTTTTACTTTTTGTCATAATAAAATTTTAAACTACATATAATAATTTCTTTTTATTTAAAGTACAAAACATTGCACACTATTTACATTATTCGGACTATTGTCCTTATCTTTGTTGTCATATTTATTACAACGTTTCGGCCGGTTTTCTTCAGGTGGTTGGAATGAACCCTTTATTTCGCTCACTGGGGTAGACTGTTCTACTTCCACGTGCCATGTCTAATGGATGTCAGTTATCAGTTATCCCTTGTTAATTCCCCTTTCCAAGTTCTCCACTGCCTTGGCCGGGTATTGAACTCACACTCTTTGTGTCCTGTCACTGGATCTAACCACACAGTGGATAAAGGCGTTGGTTACAGTGACAGGACCCAAAGAGTGTGACTCCAATATCCGGTTAAGGCAGTGGAGAACGTTCAGAGATAAATTAAAAGGAGATAACTGATAACTGAAATCCGTTAAGACATGGCACGTGGAACTAGAACAGTCTACTCGAGTGAGCGAAATAAAGGGTTCAGTTCGACATTTCAGCCACCTGAAGAAGGCCGGAGCGTACAACGGCCGAAACGTTGTAATAAAAATGGCGACAAAGATGAGGACAATAGTCCGAATAATGCAAATAGTGTACATAATACCTCTTCTCAGACATATAGACAAATTTCTTTTTAGTAAATAATATTTCTTAATATAAATGTTATTAAATTAAGAATATAGTCAATATGAAAGAAAACAATAAATGACTCATAGTGTAACACTGAAAGTCAATATCCAACTTTAACTATAAATAAATTTAACTAACAATGGCACAGGAATAAATAGTACAACTAATTTCTCGTGCTAAATCATTATACTAATTCCCCTAAACGGCGCCTCCCTAAACATGCCACCCAGGGCGGATCGCTCTTCCTGCCCCACTCTAAATCGGCCAGTGCCTTATGTCTTCAGCGTGGCATGATGTCAAGAAAAATTAAAGTGAACAAATAATAGCATTTGATTTCTCTAGCATTGCGCCAACGTGGATAGGCCAATGCGCAGTCGCTTTGTTAAAATGTCGATTGAGTTATCGCGAAGTTCCGGCCAAGGATTTTTGAATAGCGGAAAAAGAATATAAAATGACAGAGGAAATCAAGAAGGGGGAAAATATCGAAAGAAAGAAAGAAAAAAAAAAAAAAAAAAAAATTAATAAATAAAAGAAAGGGTAGAAAGGAAAGAAACACAACGAGCAAGTAGAATTAAAAACAGAAAAATCTGAATTGAAACTGATATTTTTATTTGTTTTCTGCAAGTTGGAATTTCTTCTATTTTTTTTTCAAAAGAACCTGAAGTTGAACGTGAAGAAGGGCAAGCAAAAAGGAGGACCAACAAGTAGTAGTAGTAGTTGTAGTAGTAGTAGTAGTAGAAAACGAAGAAGAAAACTTTAAATACTAGTACTACTATTACTTCTACAAGACCGGATATAATTATAAATGACCTTAAAACAGCTCAGCAAAAGAATTTGACAAACGTTTAAAATAGAAAAACCTGAAAATAGAAATGGAAAGAATTTTGAATTTAAACTCAAATGATATTCCAACAATATAAAGAAGTTCTTTTCTTCTTGGTCTTGTTGTTGTAGTTACTGTCCTGGGTATGACGATAAACTACATCCGCGTCATCGGTAAGAAGATAACCTATCTCCGACAGCAAGGCCTCTAATCAGAATGTCTTGAGGAGCGTGGAACTACCTCTTAATTGCTGGTGTTCTCAGGTCCACGTTGACCCGAGGTGGTAGCACCTGTTAGGGTCCCAGCTATGGGCAAATACTTAACCCCCAAAATGGTGTCAAAACGTATAAAAATAGTTTTTAATACCAGAATAAGTATTTGTAAAAAATTATTACCAGCAATAAATTTTTGAAGAAAAATTATTACCAGCGGTACATAATTACCAGCAATACATTTTTGAAAAAAAAAAAAGAAAAATTTACCAACGGTTCATTTTTGGAAAAAATATTACCAGGAATACTTATGGAAAAAATATTACCAGCAATAAAAAATCTTGTCGGCATTAAATAACCCATTGTGGTTGATATGCCTTAAAACAAACCAAACCAAACTAATCTTCTTCAAGACGTCGGGGATTATGGCCCTTCCCAACTTTCTGTCCTTTGTATCCCTATATTAACACTGCCATCCATTTACACATGCTCCTTACGTCGGTTACTCGCTGCTTGCCTTTCATATGTCCTCTGAGAGTCAAATTCTCCAAGCCTCCTTTCTTCCTTATGTTTCCTAGAGATTTCAACTGTATATTTTTGAGTCTATTTATAAATAGCCTTTTTGTTTCCGTTTCCCTTAAAACTTCCTCATTACTCACACGTTCTTCTCATGGTATTCTCATAATCCTCATTTCTGTTGCCTCAAGTCTCTTCTTCCATCTGTAAGGAGAGTGTCCAGCATTCGCTGCCATATATTGCATAACAGTTCCATACTCTTTGCTTTGTTTTTCAGGAGTAAAACGAATCCTGCTACACACATTAAGAACTTGTCAGGAGACACTTTACTGTTGGAAGGAACAAAGATTGTTCTTATGGGCTCAGTTCATATATTGGAAGACCTCTTGTATTAAAAAACAAATCAGGGAAACGAGAAATAATAATAATAATAATCAAAATACAAGGACCTTGAAATAGAAATCTCGAAAATGTGGCATATGAGAACATCAACAATCCCTGTATGTAGCTGGAGCCCTAGGACTGGTTGGAAAAGATACCAGTAGACTAATTGAAGGGATTCCTGGAAGTCCATGCCTCAAGGAGATACAAAAAATTGTTCTGACAAGTACAGCCCACACCTTACGAAGGGCTTTATCTATGTAATTTTTTTTTTTTTTTTTGTCAGTGGAAAGTGTCATGACGCCATTTCTAACCTTAGGTCACTGGGCGGGACCCGGAAAGAAATGTGTAAACGCCAGAAATCAAAGAAAATAAAAATAATAATAATAATAATAATAATAATATACATGTTTTCTGGCAGATGTTGCAAATTCACCCGACAAAACGAATCTTGGAACAAAAAGTTTCAGAAAGTAAATAAATAAAAAGGGGAGAGAGAGGGAGAGAGATGTAGTGAGAGAGAGAGACAGACAGACAGACAGACAGAGAGAGAGACCACGTAATCACCTCTAGAGATTTGGGATTTCTGCCAAGAAGAATGGGCAAAATTTCCTAATGAAAAATTCTCGATCTCGTTCCATTCAATGCGACATCGAATTTTGGCAATTTTTTTGGCAATTATTTTGGCCATCTGATGTTTGTTTTTTCTGTAATAATAAAAATCACCTTCTGAAAAAAAAAAAAAAAAAAAAAAAGTAAAAATTACCTGCTGACCTAGTATTTTACAAAATTAACGAAAATGCAGTAACTTGTTTTCTGGTCATAAAAGATCATAAAATTTCTAAGAAAAATATGCCACTAATCACTCTCGATTTGGTGGAGTAAAATTAACAAAAGTAAAATTATCAAGGTGGTCCAAAAGTTTTGCTCGCTCGTGGGGGAGGAGGAGGAGGAGAAGGAGAAGAAGAAGAGAGACAGAGAGGGAGAGAGATGAGTATAATGTGACGTCTCAAGACACCGACATTACCTGTTGTTATTGGGGGCTACGGCAATTTTACCAAAAGGAAGCAAACAAATATTCAGCCCTAAAATATAGGGATTGCAAAAAAACAAAAAAACAAAACAACAACAACAAAAAAAAGAACAATACTCGTGGGTACATCTTCGATCATGCGTAGATTTCTCTCCATGCAGTGACTACAATCAGATATTTTCTCTCTGATTCCATGCCATTACATATCTTCGGCTACAAAAATAAAAATAAAAATAAAAATAAAAAAAATGCTGTCTTTCGAAGTCACTGGGGCAATTCGTACCAGACAAAGCAAATTCAAAACGGGACATTACTACTACTACTACTGCTACGACGAAGACGACTAATAATAATAATACTAATATTAAAAGAGGCGAACATCAAGTATGGCATTCATGACTTGATTGAATGAAAGTGTTAATATCGGAAAACGATGTATAAATTTGGATATATCAAGAACAATTTTAGGAAAAAAAGAACTATGACGAAGCGGAAAAGGTTTTCATTTGACGCGTTTCGTCTATTCAGACTTTATTGGACTAAATGTTATGTTGACGCTAATGTGACTAAACATTCACACCAAGGAGACGATGGCAGAACTCTGACGATTTTAAAATTTAAATTTATTCTATTTATATATATTTTTTTGGTATATGTTTTTTTTGTTGGTTTATAGTCTAGTCAATTTCATTTAGTTTCTTTTTTATTTTTCTAATAATAATAATAATAATAACACACTTGTGACATAATTCTAGTCTTTCAGATTCTCCGTTTAAATTTGATTACACATATTAACTGTACATTACGTTTATCTACCCAAAGAGATATGCATTTTAATTATAATTAAAATTATTACCCGACCAACTATACTAATAACCCGGATCTTTTAACTTGAAGACTCTTGAGGTTTCTGCTTGAAACTTTAAGGCATCGCGTAAAAACAAGCAGACCCAAAACAACAACAACAACAATAATAATAATAATAATAATAATTTAAAAAAAAAAGAAATTACTGCCATATCAAAACTGCCTCCTTATTGATATGGCACTCCCTACTGAACTGCAATGTATTTTGAAGATCATCAAAAGCTATCAAAATACAAGGACCTTGAAATCGAAATTTCAAAAATGTTGCACATTAGAACATCAACAATCACTGTTGTAGTTGGAGCCCTCGGAATGACTGAAAAAGATTCCAATAAACTAATTGAAGGAATTCGTGGTAGCCCAATGCCTTGAAGAAATACAAAAAATTGCACTCAGAAGTATGAAGTGCTTTATCTATGTAAAATATCAAAAAATGTTATGTGGCCATTTCTGATCTTAGGACTCTGGGCGGGACCCGGAAAGAAATGAGTACACACCAGAAATCAAAGGAAATAATAATAATATTAATAATAAACGAAAGGTTTTATTCTTGCTGCACAGAATCAATTCTTGTTAACTAGAAATTACCAAGCACTCATACTGAAAAATTATTTTAGCCCAAAATACATATTCTGTGATGAATATCGAGAAACAATTGATCATCTTGTACTGACACCCACTGAATATCAAATTCGGTATAAAAAAGAGTTGGCCAATATCTGCATTGGAAAATATGCAATTTTACGGGAAGGAAACTGCAAGAAATTGATATGGACACCACCCAGACCCGGTCACAGGGATCGAACCTCTAATAATTTGATGGGACTTTACAATAGACATAGACAGAACAATCAGAGCTAATCGTCAAGACATCAGGATCAGAGGACACCAAAGACAAGACATCAGGATCAGAGGACACCAAAGACAAAGACATCAGGATCAGAGGACCCCAAAGACAAGACATCAGGACATCAGGATCAGAGGGACCCCAAAGGACATCAGGATCAGAGGACCCAAAGACAAGACATCAGGATCAGAGGACCCCAAAGACAAGACATCAGGATCAGAGGGCCCCAAAAGACAAGACATCAGGATCAGAGGACACCAAAGACAAGACATCAGGATCATCAGGATCAGAGGGCCCCCAAGACAAGACATCAGGATCAGAGGACCCCAAAGACAAGACATCAGGATCAGAGGACCCCAAAGACAAGACATCAGGATCAGAGGACACCAAAGACAAGACATCAGGATCAGAGGGCCCCAAAGACAAGACATCAGGATCAGAGGACACCAAAGACAAGACATCAGGATCAGAGGACACCAAAGACAAGACATCAGGATCAGAGGGCCCCAAAGACAAGACATCAGGATCAGAGGACACCAAAGACAAGACATCAGGATCAGAGGACCCCAAAGACAAGACATCAGGATCAGAGGGACCCCAAAGACAAGACATCAGGATCAGGGACCCCAAAGACAAGACATCAGGATCAGAGGACACCAAAGACAAGACATCAGGATCAGAGGACACCCAAAGACAAGACATCAGGATCAGAGGACCAACACCAAAGACAAGACATCAGGATCAAAAATCAGGGACAAAGACAAGACATCAGGATCAGAGGACCCCAAAGACAAGACATCAGGATCAGAGGACCCCAAAGACAAGACATCAGGATCAGGGACCCCAAAGAGGACACAGGATCAAACCAAAGACAAGACATCAGGATCAGAGGACACCAAAGACAAGACATCAGGATCAGAGGACACCAAAGACAAGACATCAGGATCAGAGGACACCAAAAGACAAGACATCAGGATCAGAGGACACCAAAGACAAGACATCAGGATCAGAGGACACCAAAGACAAGACATCAGGATCAGAGGACACCAAAGACAAATCAGGATCAGAGGACACCAAAGACAAGACATCAGGATCAGAGGACCCCAAAGACAAGACATCAGGATCAGAGGGACACCAAAGACAAGACATCAGGATCAGAGGACACCAAAGACAAGACATCAGGATCAGAGGACACCAAAGACAAGACATCAGGATCAGAGGACCCCAAAGACAAGACATCAGGATCAGAGGACACCAAAGACAAGACATCAGGATCAGAGGACCCCAAAGACAAGACATCAGGATCAGAGGGCCCCAAAGACAAGACATCAGGATCAGAGGGCCCCAAGACAAGACATCAGGATCAGAGGGCCCCAAGACAAGACATCAGGATCAGGGACCCCAAAGACAAGACATCAGGATCAGAGGACCCCAAAGACAAGACATCAGGATCAGAGGACCCCAAAGACAAGACATCAGGATCAGAGGGACCAAAGACAAGACATCAGGATCAGAACATCAGGATCAGACAAGGACCCCCAAAGACAAGACATCAGGATCAGAGGGCCCCAAAGACAAGACATCAGGATCAGAGGACACCAAAGACAAGACATCAGGATCAGAGGACACCAAAGACAAGACATCAGGATCAGAGGACACCAAAGACAAGACATCAGGATCAGAGGGACACCAAAGACAAGACATCAGGATCAGAGGACACCAAAGACAAGACATCAGGATCAGAGGACCCCAAAGACAAGACATCAGGATCAGAGGACCCCAAAGACAAGACATCAGGATCAGAGGACCCCAAAGACAAGACATCAGGATCAGAGGACCCCAAAGACAAGACATCAGGATCAGAGGACACCAAAGACAAGATCAGGATCAGAGGGGCCCAAAGACAAGACATCAGGATCAGAGGGCCCCACCAAAGACAAGACATCACATCAGGAGAGGACCCCAAAGACAAGACATCAGGATCAGATCAAAGGACATCAGGATCAGAGGACACCAAAGACAAGACATCAGGATCAGAGGACCCAAAGACAAGACATCAGGATCAGAGGACACCAAAGACAAGACATCAGGATCAGAGGGCCCCAAAGACAAGACATCAGGATCAGAGGGACCCCAAAGACAAGACATCATCAGAGGGCCCCAAAGACAAGACATCAGGATCAGAGGGCCCCAAAGACAAGACATCAGGATCAGAGGGCCCCAAAGACAAGACATCAGGATCAGAGGACCCAAAGACAAGACATCAGGATCAGAGGGCCCCAAAGACAAGACATCAGGATCAGGACCCCAAAGACAAGACATCAGGATCAAGGACCCCAAAGACAAGACATCAGGATCAGGATCAGGATCAGAGGACCCCAAAGACAAGACATCAGGATCAGAGGACCCCAAAGACAAGACATCAGGATCAGAGGACCCCAAAGACAAGACATCAGGATCAGAGGACCCCAAAGACAAGACATCAGGATCAGAGGACCCCAAAGACAAGACATCAGGATCAGAGGGCCCCAAAGACAAGACATCAGGATCAGAGGACCCCAAAGACAAGACATCAGGATCAGAGGGACCCCAAAGACAAGACATCAGGATCAGAGGGCCCCAAAAGACAAGACATCAGGATCAGAGGACCCCAAAGACAAGACATCAGGATCAGAGGACCCCAAAGACAAGACATCAGGATCAGAAGACCCCAAAGACAAGACATCAGGATCAGATCCCCAAAGACAAGACATCAGGATCAGAGGACACCAAAGACAAAGTGTGCCTTCTTATTGACATGGCAGTCTCTGAAGACTGCAAATCTCAAAAATCTTGTATAAGGCCTTGAAATCGAAATCTCAAAAATGTGGCTCGTGAGGACATCAACAACACCAATTGTCGTTACAGCCCTCGGTTTGATTGGAAAAGGTCCCAATAGACACATTGAAGAGATTCCTGGTAGCCCAAGCCTTAAAAAGATGTAAAAAATTGTACTCACAAATATAGATCACACCTTAGAAAGAGCTTTATCTATGCAAAATGTCGGTAAACTTAGACTTTTTTTTTCCAAAAATTCTTAGTGGAAAATGTCCTGATGCCATTTCTGACCTTAGGTCTCTGGTTGGGATCCGGAAAGAAATGAGTATACACCAGAAATCAAAGGAAATAATAATAATAATAATAATAATAATAATAATAACCACTGGAACAAACTCTTCCACACACGAAGAGACACTTGGTCACCAAACTCGGATTATTGCCAACCTTGGACCAAGTGACTCAATACCAAATCGACTAATAAAAAGTAAACGAACGAAATGGAGCCGCGAAGAGTATCGACAAGTCATGACATCCTTCTTCATTGCACTCAAAAACCCAGCAAAGAACACCACCAATCAAACATACCAAATATGGAGAAGTACGGTGGGAAATGATATAAGACCTAACCTCAATCCAAACATGCTTGCCAATGTCCGTAGAGACATCATGCGAAACAACAGACTCTCAAAGGCAGAAATAGATAAGATAAAATTAGATATAAGACAAAATACTATGACCCATCACTCAAACTCTATTGAGACAAATGTAGAAATAAGGAATGCGACAGAGGATGAGGTGGACGCTAAAGCGAATGAAATACGAAATAATCTCCTAGGAAATGAAACCCAAGACTCTACCTTAAACACAACCTGCAGTCCTCCAGAAAATGTACCTGGAGTCATCTTCAGTGACAATAAGTTAGAATTCCTTGAAAACACGAAGCTGAAATCACTGAAGCGAAAAATGACGTCAGCAGAGTAACTTTCATACAATTGTCAGACAGAGACCAGCTCCCGAAAATCCATATGACGAATTCCAACAAGCACATCGTGAAAATATACAATGCTGCTCTGGAACACTGTTAACAGATGAACCACCGGGAAATATCACAGAAGTTAACAACGTCATATACGCAACAGCTTTAGCAGCGACTCGGAAGCTTGGAGTCAAGACTATAAATAAAATTAACAGACACAAAGAACCAGCTTGGAAAACCAAACTGATTCGAGAAATAAAACAAATCAGATGTGAGCTTTCTATATTAGATGAGCTCACCAGAATCCCTAATATTTCCACACGTAAATGCAAAAAGATCAAGCGGAAATATAACATTAAATCCCTAATTGATATTCCATCAATCAAGGAAATGCTGAAGCAGAAACTTCAGCTAAAGACGCAGAGAACAAGACGATACGAAAAACGTTGTAGGTTCTATCGCCAAAATAAAATATTCCGAACAGATCTTAAGAAATTTTACAGGGAAATTGGAAAAACACCTATACATGTCGAAAGGCCACCATCGATTGATAATGTACAGACATTTTGGGAAAATATTTGGAGCAGCCCGAAGGAATATAACCCAAATGCTGAATGGATACGGCGTGAAGAAGAACGACTGCTGGATACACCTCTGCAAGAATGGGAAAATATATCCACAGATGATGTTAGGCAAGCTCTAACGAAATCCCAAAAATGGAAATCCCCAGGAAATGACAAGTTGCCCAATTTCTGGCTGTATCATCTCTCATCTACGCATGGAATTCTTGCAAGAACATTATCAACGCTTGTAAATAATCCCAATAAAATCTTGGAATGGATTACGGAAGGTATTACACACCTCATACCAAAAACAACTGAAACAGAAGACCCGAAAAATTATAGACCGATAACATGTCTCTTCACAACGTATAAGTTGATCACGTCTGTACTGACGAACCGTACTTATTCCTTTCTCGAAACAAACAGCATTCTCCCGCTGGAACAGAAGTGATGCAGAAGAGGTTCATATGGCTGCAAGGATCAACTTCTGATAAATAAAATGATCCTTGAAAATTGCAGGAGACGACGCAGGAATCTAAGTGCAGCGTGGATTCATTATCGTAAAGCCTTTGATAGTGTTCCACATACTTGGATCCTTAAGACTTTGGAAATGTACAGAGTCTCCCCTGTGGTATTAAATTTCCTTAAGCACAGCATGGGAATGTGGAACACCAAACTATACCTTAGTCACAACGGGGGAACTGCCATATCCAACCGTCTGAATATCTGACGTGGAATCTTTCAAGGAGACTCTCTGTTACCCTTTCTGTTTTGTTTATCCTTAATCCCTCTTACACATGAACTGAACAACAGTAGCTATGGTTACAAAATAAATAAGAAAATATTCAATCACCTACTATACATGGATGATCTCAAACTCTTTGCCAAAGACGACAATGAGTTGAAAGGCCTCCTCAATATTGTAAAATACTTCAGTGACGACATAGGTATGGGCAAAAGTAACTTTCAAGAAAGGTAGAATTACAGAAACACCCTTAATAGATTTAGATTTTGTCACAAAGATTAGGGAACTGGAGCATGATGAAGCTTATAAGTACCTAGGAATTAGCGAAGGAGATGGCATACAACACTCCCAAATGAAGGAAAAAATAAGAAAAGAGTACTACAGGCGTGTACGTCTGGTACTAAATACTGAGCTAAACTCAAAAAACAGGATATCAGGCATAAACACATTGGCTGTCCCTGTGGTGCAATACCTCTTTAATGTCCTTAACTGCACCATAGCTGAAATTAAGCGAATGGACGCCAAAATGAGAAAGCTTCTCACTTGCTATCGCATACATAATCCCAAAACTGATGTTGATCGTCTGTATGTGCCCAGATCCGAAGGAGGCAGAGGATTAGTTGAACTAGAACTTTCCTACAAAACTACAACAATTGGCCTCCAAAGATATTTGGAAACTACAGAAGACTGGATGATGGTATGCGTCAAGGAACATGAAAGTAGTAAGCGTCTTTACTCCGTAATGAAAGAAGCCAACAAATTCAAAATGGAGTTTCAAATGGGCGTAGAGATGCAACTACAGCACAATACACCGGCTGAAACTGCAAAATACCTAAAAAAAGACAGCAAAGACGAATGCAACCGACCAGATACAGAAGCGATGGCAAGATAAACCGCTTCATGGCCAATACTCTGCCCGTGCCAAACAAGCTGCCGTAGACAAAACCCGTACCCATCAGTGGCTACGTAGTGCAGGATTGAAAGCGGAAACTGAAGCTTTTATCCTAGCTGCGCAGGACCAATGTTTGCTAACTAGGAATTATCAAGCACATATACTAAAATATTGTGTCAGCCCAAAATGCAGATTCTGTGACAAGTATCCAGAAACGATTGATCATCTTGTATCAGGTTGCACGGTGTTGGCACCCACTGAATATAAAACCCGAGATGACAGAGTGGGCCAATATCTGCACTGGAAAATCTGCAACTTCTACGGGAAGGAAACTGAAAGAAACTGGTATGAACACCAACCAGACCTGGTTACGGAGATAGGACCTGTTACAATTCTATGGGACTAAACAATACACACTGACAGAACAATCAAGGCCAATCAGCCAGATATTGTTATTAAAGACCACAAACAAAAATGGTGCCTCCTTGTTGACATGGCAGTCTCTGCTGACTGCAATGTATCTTTGAAGATATTCAAAAAGTTGTCAAAATACAAGGACCTTGAAATAGAAATCTCGAAAATGTGGCATATGGGAACATCAACATCCCTCTTGTAGTTGGAGCCCTAAGACTGGTTGGAAAAGATTGCAGTAGACTAATTGAAGGGATTCCTGGAAGTCCATGCCTCAAGGAGATACAAAAATTGTTACAACCCACACATTACGAAGGGCTTTATCTATGTAATTTAATTTTTTTTTTGTCAGTGGAAAGTGTCATGACGCCATTTCTAACCTTAGGTCCCTGGGCGGGACACGGAAAGAAATGTGTAAACGCCAGAAATCAAAGAAAATAATAATAATAAAAATAATAATAATAATAATAATAGACAGGAAGTCTTTTTAATCTTTAGATTTTAAATTTTATATATTATTTTTTAAATTTTATATTTCTGTAAATCTTAATATATTTGTATATAAAATAACTCCAGAACCTAACTCAAGATCAAAAGAATTAGGATGCTATTTCTAAAAAATTTATATTTGACAAGATTTTTCAATCAGAAGCAACGATAATTTATAGAACTTTCCAACTCATCAGTTAATGCAAAGCTATTTGTAATATAAAATAGACAGGGTAGGAAGACTTATGCACTAAGAACAGTGCAAACGATGCCAATTCGATCATAAAGACAAATGATACCAAGATAGCAATTTCCAAAAACACAACTTGCAAGTTACTGTGGGATTCCGAAACAAAGGCCAAGTGTAAACATTGGTTTTAATGATCTAAGAAAAAAGAAAAAATATCAGGTAGTAGATGTGAAGACGGAGAAGAAATTAAATTAATAAAAGGAAATTGCCCGGGAGATGAAAAATGTATGTAATATGAAGGTTACAATAGATAATAGTAAGCACACTTTGGATTCAGGATTGGATGAGGTTACTAAGATAATGGTAAGTACAATCGGGATTGACTCAATCGGGATTGGATGAGGTTACTAGAATCGTGCCTATAATGGTAAGCGATAATCATGAGGAGAATCGTGCCTATAATGGTAGAACTGCAATTGGATGAGGTTACTAGAGAATCGTGCCTAAAGCACACTTGTAGCTGGAATCAGGATTGATGATAGAGAATCGTGCCTATAATGGTAGCCCGCTGGAATCGGGAATGATCGTGCCTAAAGTTGTAGAATCAGGATGAGGTTACTAGAGAATCGTGACTTAATGCACTTGTAAATCGAACTAGAGAATCGTGCCTAAATGGTGCCAATTCTGGAATCATTGGATGAAGTTACTAAAATCGTACCTATAATGGTAAGCACACTTGAATGAGGTTACTGACCCTAGGAAATCGGGATTGGATGAGGTTACTACGTGCCTATAATGGTAACTTGTAGCTGGAATCGTTGGATGAGGTTACTAGAGAATCGTGCCTATAATGGTAAGCACACTTGTAGCTGGAATCGGGATTGGATGACAAAATCGTGCCTATAATGGTAAGCACACTTGTAAATCATTGGATGAGGTTACTATGAATCGTAAGATAAAAAAGCACAAAAAATTGGATGAGGTTACTAGTAGAATGGTAAGACGGGATTGGATGAGGTTAAGAATCGTAATGGTAAAACTTAAATTCGGGATTGGATGAAAAGTGAAATTGCTAGAGAATCGGCACACTTGTAGCTGGAATCAGGAAAATTACTCGTGCCTATAATGGTAAGCATTGTAGCTGGAATCAGGATTGGATGAGGTTACTAGAGAATCGTGCCTATAATAGTAAGCACACTGCCTATAATCAGGATTGGATGAGGTTACTAGAGAATCGTGCCTATAATGGTAAGCACTTGTAGCTGGAATCAGGATTGGATGAGGTTACTAGATGAGGTTAAGCACACTTGTAGAGAATCAGGATTGGATGAGGTTATAATAATGGTAAGCACACTTGTAGCTGGAATCGGATTGGATGAGGTTACTTACTATAATGGTAAGAATCGTAGCTGGAATCAGGATTGGATAATAATGGTAAGCACACTTGTAGCTGGAATCAGGGATTGGATGAGGTTACTGGAAATCGTGCCTATAATGAAGCACACTTGTATGGAATCAGGTTGGATGAGGTTACTGAAATCGTGCCTATAATAGTAAGCGAAATCTTGGATGAGGTTACTGGAGAATTCACACTTGTAGCTGGAATCGGGATTGGATGAGGTTACTAGAGAATCGTGCCTATAATGGTAAGCACACTTGTAGCTGGAATCGGGATTGGATGAGGTTACTAGAGAATCGTGCCTATAATGGTAAGCACACTTGTAGCTGGAATCGGGATTGGATGAGGTTACTGGAGTGCCTATCACACTTGTAGCTGGAATCAGGGATTGGATGGAGGTATCCTGCCTAATAAATACACTTGTAGCTGGAATCGGGATTGGATGAGGTTACTGGAGAATCGTGCCTATAATGGTAAGCACACTTGTAGCTGGAATCGGGATTGGATGAGGTTACTAGAGAATCGTGCCTATAATGCGTTGAATCGTGCCTATAAGGGATTGGAATCGGAGGTGACTGGAGAAGGTGCTGAATATTCGCCGGGAATGGCTGTGCCTAGATCTCCAGCAATAACTACCAAAGAAAGAAAGATAGGAAGTAAATTCAAATTGATATTGTAACGGGAGACATTGAAAGAAAAATAAAGAATAAAACGGAAACGCGATGATCAAGAACAAAAAATGTGCAAGAAAACCCCTTTCACCATTGGAATGATCATTACCATTTTCATATCTTGGTAAAATTCTAATACTGCATTCTCAAGAAAGGAAGCGGAAACGATAACGTTAGCGTAGCCGTCCTCGATAAGAGGAATCAAGAAATGCTATTTGAGGTGAACACCTTTGAACTAAAATCGACCATTTTAACACGAAAGCTGCAGCCATTGAATTCTCCCCTTCTGTTTTTACCCTTATTAAGGTTTTCTGGTTTGATAGCGAAATAATTTAAAATAAACCAAAAGAAAATAAAATAAAAACTATCGGAAACAGAGAAAATTCTGATTGATGAGTTTTTTCTATTTTTTTTTCTTTTATTTTTGGCTTTTCTTGTCGTTCGTTTGAAATTGATCGCTTCTTAAAAATGCGGTGAAGAAATTCAGCGATGCATGAAGACAATTAGAAAGTTTGAACTGAGCAGAAAAAAGGCAGATCCCAATGCTATTAACACTCTTCTGACCATGGGAATGAAATAGTTTTATTTTAAGGTTTACAACTTCCAGGTCTAAAAGAAAATTAGAAGTAATCGAAGAAAATAAACTCTAAAAGTGAAAGGAAATAAAAAAAAAAATCGCATTTTGAGGTTTTTCTTCAAAGTTTTTGCATTTTTTTTATTGCGTTCTGTCATTATCTTTCTTCCAAGCGAATTCTTCCTTCTTCCATTCCTTCTTTTCTTTTTTCTTAATTCTTTGCGAACGTTACTTGTATTATTTCTTAATTATTTGTTTGTTAAAAAAAAAATCAGCCTCTTCTGATTTTATCTTCCATGTTTTCTTTTTCCTCCCCTCAACATAGACAGGCTTTATTTTTCTATCTTTCTTACTTCCTTTTTTCTTTTCTTCTTTTTATATATTTCTTTTTTTGTATCTTTCTTTCTTTCTTTCTTTCTTTCTTTCTTTCTTTCTTTTTTATATCATTCTTTCTTTCTTTTTATATATTCTTTCTTTCTTTTTCTTTCCTTCTTATTTATATCTTTCTTTCTTCTTTCTTTCCTATATCTTTCTTTCTTTTTTATTTCCTTCATTTTTATATCTTTCTTTTCATCTTTCTTTTTATATCTTTCTTTCTTTCTTTCTTTCTTTCTTTCTTTCTTTCTTTCTTTCTTTCTTATATCTTTATTTCTTTTTATTTCTTTCATTTTTATATCTTTCTTTCTTTCTTTCTTTCTTTCTTTCTTTCTTTCTTTCTTTCTTTCTTTCTTTTATCCCTCTTACCGTTTTCTTTCTTTTTAGCTTTTTATCTTCTTTCTTTCTTTAACCTCCCTATCTTTTAGTCTTGTTTTCCCTTTTTCTTTCTTTCGTTACGAGCCATTCTTTCTTTCTTTCTTTCTTTCTTTCTTTCTTTCTTTCTTTCTTTCTTTCAAATGGAACCAGTTTCGTTTTTTCTAGTACAATTCTTGAATTAAGGAATTTGTTGTGCGCTATCGACTGGTAATTCCGAAAGTAGTGAAGAAGAAGAAAGCAGAATGATGCCCCCCCCTCGACATCAAATCTAAAATACAAAAGCTAAATTAGTTCCAAGACCGAAGGGAGGTTTTCAGAAAATGAAAACGTCGAAGAGAAAACAATCTTCCGAAAGAAACAAAATTACGGTTAAAAAAGTAGAAAGGATGAGAGAGAAAGAAAGAAATATGGACAAAATGAAAGAATAGGTAAGAGAAGAAAAAAGATAGGAAAAGAAGACAGAGAGATGGTAATAAAGAAAGAATGGTTAAGGGAAGAATGAAAAAAATGAAAAAAGAGAGATGGACAAAAAAGAAAGAATAGAAGAAGAGAGAAAAAGACAGAATAGGTAAGAGAAGAAAGAAAGAAAGAAAGAAACAAAGGATAGGAAAGAGAAGAAAGAAAAATGGTAAAAAAGAAAGACTAATTAAAGGAAGAAAGAAATAAAGTAAAAAAGAGATGGACAAAAAACGAAACAATAGATAAGAGAAGAGAGAAAGAAAAAAAAGAAATAATAGAAAAAAAGAAAGAAAGAAAGAAAGAAAGAAAGAAAGGATAGGAAAGAGAAGACAGAAAGATGGTAAAAAAGAAAATAGTTAAGGGAAGAAAAATAATAAAAAGAGAGATGGACAAAAAGAAAGAAAGAAAGAAAGAAAGAAAGAAAGAAAGAAAGAAAAAAGGGGTGGAAAGAGAAGAAAGAAAGATGATAAGGAAGAAAGAATAAGTAAGGGGAGAAAGAAAGTAAGAAAGAAAGACGGGCAAAAAGAAAAAATAGCTAAGAGAATAGAGAAAGAAAAAAGAAAGAATAGGTAAGGGCATAAAGAAAAGAAGAAAGAAACAAAGAAACAAACGATGAGAAAGAGAAGAGAGAAAGATTGTAAAAAGAAAGAATAGGTAAAGAAAGAAAGAAAGAAAAAGAAAGAAAGAAAGAAAGAAAGAAAAAAGAAAAGAAGATGGGCAAAAAGAAAGTAAGAGAAGAAAAAAGAAAGGAAGTGGAATAGTAATCAGAAAAACAGAAATCGAGATGGAAAACGAAAGTTAAGAAAAATAAGACGTAAGAAATGAGGGAGTCGCGAAAGGGCGGAATGGTAACAGTAATGGTAATATTAGCCGTTTCTTTATAAGGAAATATTTGATAATCATTGGTCGATTGGTTGTTCAGTGATTTTGCTTAGCGGCATTTTAATCTCTATAGGTTTTTTAATGCCAATATTTTGAAAACAATTTTATCGCTTCAACTAAACTTTCTTTCTTCTCTTACATATTCTTTCTTTTGTTCATCACTCTTTCTTTCTCTCATATATACTTTCTTTCTTTCTTTCTTTCTTTCTTTCTTTATTACGTATTCTTTCTTTTGTTTATCTATTTTTCCTTCCTTCTCTTATATATTCTTTCTGTCTTTCTTTCTTACCTTCTCTATTCTTTCTTTTGCCATCTTCCTTTCTTCCTTCTCGTATATATACTTTCTTTCTTTCTTATCTATTTTTCTTTCTTCTCTGACCTTTTCTTTCTTTTTGCCTATCATTCTTTCTCTCTTTTCTTACCTGCCTTCAACTACAGATAAAATAGATCGTTGCCCATTTTGCTTATAAAATGTATTGGTTGGTAATTCTCCGAAAAATATATATTGCTGGTAATTTTTACTATGAAAATGTTTCGTATAATTTCATATTACTTTGTATTTGTATGTAGGTTCACTGTATGTCCATAAGTTGTACCCTAACAGATCGGAGTGGACCTGGGAACAACCGCAGTTAAAAGGTGTTTCCACGATCTTTAAAACACACAATCTCCAGATCCGGTCCTGCAGTTGGATGTACTTTATCCTCATTCCCAGAACTGTTCATTGCTCGAGCAGCCAGTGCTACTTTAATTTGAAATTTTAAAAAATCTTTCTTTGAAAACAATTTTCCCGGAAAATATGTGTATCAAGTCCAATAACTCTTATCGTTGCCCTTTCTAAGATTTGATGGAAGATTCCTTCCCAGCCTTTTGTTTGAAGTAGTGTGGAAAGTCAGCATTTTGATTATATCATTATTTTTTCTTCGGGTTGTTTGTGCGATCCATTTTGGCTGTTTGCGTTACTGAATGCCGTCAGGTGACGTAGTTCCTTCACTTGGTACAGTTCTTTGAGGTGACAGATCACGAAATTTGAAGAAGGTTGGTCCTAGCTAAGACCTACAGGTGTCAATCGCAGTTGGCCTGAAAAAGCGGTTGTATACATTTGACACTTTACGTGAATACAAGTAAGTTTTTACATAGCAAAAAGAAAGACACATGATGCAGAAAGACAATAGAATAATTCTTCCTGCATTCTTTTTTACCCTGCTTTTGTCTTTCTTTCTTTCTTTCTTTCTTTCTTTCTTTCTTTCTTTCCTTTTCGGAAATGTTCCATTAACCTACACACGTTTTCTTTTCCTTTTACATTTCGTTTAATTTTTTACTTTCTTTTTTTCTTCCTTTTTTTCTTTTTCTTTCTTTCTTTCCATTTCGGAAATGTTCCATTAACCTACAGACATTTTTGCTTTTTACTTTCGTTTAATTACTTTCTTTCTTTCGTTCTTTCTTTCTTTCTTTCTTTCTTTCTTTTTCGGAAATGTTCGATTAACCTACACACGTTTTCTTTTCCTTTTACATTTCGTTTAATTTCTTACTTTCTTTTTTTCTACCTTTTTTTCTTTTTCTTTCTTTCTTTCCATTTCGGAAATGTTCCATTAACCTACAGACATTTTTGCTTTTTACTTTCGTTTAATTACTTTCTTTCTTTCGTTCTTTCTTTCTTTCTTTCTTTCTTTCTTTTTTTCTTTCTTTCTTTCTTTCTTTCTTTTATCCCTGTTACTGTTTTCTTTCCTTTTGATTTTTTTTACCTTCTTTCTTTCTTTAACCTCCCTATCTTTTAGTCTTGTGTCTATTCTTTCTTTTATGTATAACAGAACGAAAACATTGGAAGAAGAAAACACAGCCTGCAAACAAGAGAGAATGAAAGAAAGAGCGAAAAGAAAGGTAAAATAAATCAGAGAAAAGAAAATAGATCTTTATAGAAAAAATAAAATGGCGAAATAAAGAACGAAAAGATTGAAGGGTAAAAAGAGAGAGAGAGAGAGAGAGAGGGGGTGGAGAGCAGAAAGAGAGAAAAGAAAGAAAAATGAGCAGGAGAAAGAAGAAAGGAAAAAACAAATAAAACAGAAGATGGAAAAATCCGCAGATACGGAAGGAGAAAAAGAAAGACGGAAAAACATGGCGAGGAAGAAGAATAATAAGAAGAAGGAAGTAGCAATGAAGATAAAGGTGTAAAAAGAAACAAAGAAAGAAAAAAGAAAGCGAAGAAAGAAATCATCAGAAGAAAGAAAGGCTAAAATTTGCAGGAAAAATATTTCGAAGACAAAGAAAAAAAGATGAAAAGAAAGAAAGAAAGAAAGAAAAAAGATATAAAAATGAAGGAAATAAAAGTTTGTTAAAGAAATAAATATAGTGAGAAGGATAGAAAGAAATAAAACAGAAAGAAAGAATAATAGAAAAAGTTAAAGAAAGAAGCAACGAAAAAAGAAAAAAAAGAGAAAGAAAAGTAAATTCGAAGAGGATAACGTTGAAAGAAAAAAATGAGAGAAGAACATAATAAAACTAAGAGCGCTTAAGGAAAGAAAGAAAAAGAAATAGGGAAACAAGACTAAAGGATAGGGAGGTTAAAGAAAGAAGATAAAAAAAGTTAAAAAGAAAGAAAACGGCAACAAGGATAAAAGAAAGAAAGAAAGAAAGCATAACAAAAAGAAAGAAATCAGCAAGAATGAATGAATAAAAGAAAGAAAGAAAGAAAGAAAGAAGTAAAAAAAAAAAAGAAAGAAAGAAAGAAAGAAAGAAAGAAAAGGAAGCAGGACGAAAAGAAAGAAAGCAGAAAGAATGAATGAATGAAAAAAAGAAAGAAAGAAAGAAAAAGAAAAGGAAGAAGGACAAAAAGAAAGAAAGAAAGAAAGAAAGAAAGAATGATAGAAACACAGAAAAGGTTAAGAAGAAAGAAAAACTCAAGTTAAAGAGACAAAAGAAATAAATGAAAAGGAAAGAATGAATGGAGCCCTTCTCTACTTAGCGATCAGTCTCGCGTTTTCAAGCTCACATCATATAAATACGTTCTCTTGAGATGATCTTTGGCAGACAAGGACGAAGACAATAATTGAACCTATCGTCCTGATCTGCCGATCAAACGCTGGATATTGGGGGAGAGCAAGAGATCAAGTAATCTGACCCATTTGTTCATCAGAGTTGAGCCGCAGCTTAGCCGGCTAAAACGGTCAGTGCTTTTGCCGGAATGGAGAGACAGAGAAAAGTGGGGTCAAGCAAGAGGTGAAGGGGAGAGCAAAGAAAAGGGCGGAGAGAGAGAGAGAGAGAGAGAGAGAGTAACATTTTAGTTTCCAATCTGAAGAATGTCCGCGTTTTAAGATAAGACCATCACTTGATAATGGTCAGAGATATGAGGGCGGGTGGGAGGTTGGTGTGACGGCGGAGATATGTGCATGAGCGAGTGAGTGAGAAAGAGAAGAGAGAGAGAGAGAGAGAGAGAGAGAGAGAGAGAGAGAGCGAGATGTTGGCGGGTGGGGGGGCAATGAACACGAAAGTTCGGAAGTAGCTAATCGCCTTTGATCCTAATGCAGAAAGGAAAGGGATTATGGAAATCGATTATTTCAATGATTTGGGTATCCCTTGACCCGGAGCCGGAAGTCAAGTAAATAAATGAGGTATGTGTCTTTTGGTGAGCAAGTTGCGTGACAAAAGTCGGTAAACTGCGCAAAATCAAAGAGCTACATTCTTGTCGTTGAGTTATGGTTAGCCATCGAATTTCGCAGACCAGTTCCTGCTGCGGTGAGTTCGATCCTGACTAAATGATCGGGATCTATAACCTTGTATGGTACCGAGTTAAAATATCAGATAAAAGCTTTTTTTTCTTTTAATGGCGATCACCCCAAGGAAGGCAGTAAAGCCACTAAAACAAAGGCTGTGGAAGTATAAGAAAAAAACAGAAACATTATTAATGAGCGAGAAAAAAAAAAGTAATCAGAGGAGTAGATAGCGATTGTCATTGAATTTAAATTTAAAGATTAAAGTTGGCTAGGAAGCACAGAATCAGAAGGGAGTTCCACATTTGAGAAGTGCGAGAAAAGAGACTGTTAGAATTTGCGATTATATCTTGCCAATTCAAGTATATATTGATCAGGGAGGCAACTTTACGGTAGTCGGAAAATGACTGAAGCCGAGATGCCATATCAGGACCAATAATATTGCTGATTCTTCTTTGGATTTTATCAAGAAGCTCTGGATAAACAGCAGGAACACCGTACCATATGTGGCGGCAAGATTCTAAGCATGGACGAATGGTAGACTTATAGATATGCAAGATAGACGCTGGAG